GAGGCATGGAACATATGTACCAAATATGCCAAAGATGTCTACAAAATTATCTCAGTTATTATTAAAAAACTGATTATTTTTGAAAACTTTGCCACCCTGTATCTCAAAAGTTAAGGCGTTTAGGATATACGTCCATAGGACGTTTTTTCCTTAAAATGGGTCTAAGAATTACCTCCTTAAATATTAGCATGTGTTTAAGGAACACCCTGTATAACATTTTGTTTTAACATTTATAATTTTTCACATATGCAGTATCGTATCTAATGCTGGTGCATTTCCAAATGTAAACAAAGTTAAAATTTCATCACTAAATTGTGAATTGGTACACTTTGCATCATCGCTTATAGAAATCTGAAATTATTTAGTAAATTGAATTAATGAAATAATTATTTTATTGTTCCAAGAAACCATTAAGCCCGTCGTACATTGGGTGATTATTGTTCAAGGCAAACGCCATGCCAATTCAAAATGTATGACGCGGTTGTGTGCTTGCAACTTCCAAGGCAAGTCATGTGAATTAGGAATGCAGCTCTAGACGTTTTTATGCTGATGAACACAATACCAAATCGAACTTTATAAATCCCCACTGTAGAATTGTAACCTGAGCTCCTAACTTGATTTATGTGTTGATTGTAATATGAATACAATTTGGAGAAAGCAAAAACACAACACAGGTTACTACTGTGGCAAATTAATGAATTAACTGTCTTAAACAATTACAAACTAATTTATTCATTACAACACTTAGCAATTAACACTTCATTTATTTCCACTATTCGAATTTCTTGTTTAGCCGCTCGATTCACTTTCTAAACTGCCCCCTTGGTTCGGGAAGACGGGCTTATATCGGTAAAGGTCAATCAATGGTCAATCAATGCGTGCCTAACATTTTATGTTAGGCACGCATCAAATATACAGGCACTCAATGAAATTAGATAACGAAAGAAACATAATTTTGAATATGACGTTTTCAGTAAAGGGTTAAATTGTAAATCTGATCGTAATATATAAATAAACTGAGATATGTATTGACATTAATGTATTATGTAATGCTTTTTTACTTTCACCAACTGAAAATTGAATCACAAACTACGACTTCTAGCTTCTCAAAACGTACAAATGTGAAGTGACATTTGTGACTGACAAATTCTTAGTTTCAATTTTACCCCACCATTATCGACACCAATGACATCTGTCTTTAAATGTTTTTGTTTTGACCGATTGACTTTTTTTGCCACTTAAAACATTAACATGCTTTGAATAATGTTCGCCGCCCACCGCCGAATCAACCTTGAATCTCGTATCCGTTTTCCAGATCGTTTCCGACGAAACCAGTTCGGAATCGTCCAGCGAAATCCACAATTCCGCAACGGAGATCTCAACCGACTCGGAGTTCGCTCAGGATGATCCGACGCCGACCAGAGAGATCCCGTCCATCGTTCTGAACGACTTCCATGTGACGAAAACGAGAGGCAGCGGCGGCGCCCCCAAGAGAATTCAGGTGACGACCGGCTTCCTCCAAAGACCTTCGAACGGCAAATCTAGAAAGCCGAATATCGAACTAAAGTTGAAACCTCTAGTACCTCATACACCCATCACAACCACCGTTAAAAAACCTGCACCAGTTTTGCTATCACGTACCGAGGGTTATGCTTTGAATCGCACCCAGAGCACGGGGGGCATCGCGGCTAAGGTATCGCTTGAACTTAAGAAAAAGTATTTGTTAGGGGAGCAGGCGGCGGGCAGTATACAGAAATCGGGCAGCGCGAGCACTCTGGACACGAAGTTCAAGAGTTTTCACACCAACATATCCGACTGTCAGAAGCTGCTGAAGCCCGCTACGGAGATTAGCGCGAGTATGCAGACGTTCTGCAACATTCTCAACGAGCGAAAGTCGCCAGTACTGTCACCGCAATCTTCCGCGGTTAAACTACCCGAGGCGCCGAAAGAAGAAGTTCCTCCAGTCGAAGCAAAGTCCGCGGAAGATACTGAGGAGTTTGTGAACGTATCCCTAGGTCGCCCTCGAAGCCCGGTTCACGAAACATCTATCATCGTGCCCCAGATCGACTGGAGCAAGAGCCACCAAAGTCTTTCCTCGGACAGTTTGGCATCTTCGGACGACGAGGCAACGAAACCCGTACCACGCGTCGAAATTCACACCGTCAATGACGAAGAGCCTAACGACGACTTTGTACCTGACTCGCTATGCGTAGATAGCAAAACCACGAGCGTGGAAAAGTCCATAAGCAGCGAGAAAAAGGCGCTTAATCAGCCGAAGCCGCTCCCGAACTTGGAGAACCTATTGCCCGAAATTCACAACTCGCTGCACATCAAATATAAGAAGAAGGATGAAGCAATTGAATTGCCAAAACCGGACACTAAGTCGCTCAGCGGGGTTAGTTCCCCAGAGTCAGGGACGGAACAAGCCACAGCAGCCTTGACAGAGACAGAGCTTTCTGATTGGGCCAGAGACGAACTAGCATCCGACGAATTTGAATACGCCTACTTCGAGCCCGGTGTTCAGGAATCCGGGAAGATTACAAAAGATAAAGATGTGAATGAGCTGAAAAACAAAACGATCATTACGGAGGCTATGAACAATATCCTTTCCGGCAATTTAGACAACATCGAATTCATGGACACCGGGACAGAAACTAGCAGCGACGATGGCGTAGTCGATAGTCAGAACGGGTATGTTTTGTTCAAAAACGACTGCGAGTTCACGGAGGACAGCCTGAGCCCGAACGTGAACGATATCGTGGAAGCGGTAAATATCGACGCCGATAAAGTCCTGGATAATTCTCAAGCTCTCAAGAATATCAAACCAAAGGACCACGAAGAAGACAGTTTGGTTGTGGTCGAAACGGGAACTACTACGGAGGAAAACACTTGCAGCGACTCCACCGTGAGGAACGTTACCGAAATAGGCGCTGACCAGCGTATGATTCAAGACAATAAGGAAATCATAAAGCTTTCGTCGGCTGATACAATCCCGGAGAAGAATAAGGAAAACCTGGATGCCAACAACATCGAGTTCGAGGAACATTGCCAGCGGCTGCAGTCGAGAATCGAGTTTGGAAACGTCAAAGACTCAATCGATGTGCGAAAATCGAGGAGAAAGAGCAAGCCGGATTTGATCCAGGAGGATGTTGGACTTCAGTTAGCGATACCGAAAGGCATTACATTGAATTTAACTCCTACTCATACCCCGGATATTTTGTACAATAAAGAAATACTCAAGAAAGAGCGTGATACGAACCAGAGGGTTGTCCAGGAAATGGTTATGAACAGGATGAAAGCTGAGAATAAGTCGCTAGAACGGAAAAGGAGAAAGAATCCGCTCTCTCCTTTCGATTTGACAAAGTCGGCCACTACGGATTTGGTTTCTCAGATAAACTCCAACAACCTGAATAAGAGTGTAACCAGTGGATCCAGTAACTATAATACTCCAGACGTGCTCCTTTCCACTAACTATCCTCTGCAGAATTCAAAAACAGTTAATGTAGCTGGTTATAAGGTAGAGACACCTGTAGATAAAAAAGAGCCGGAAAAACAAGTTTCCAACCCCGAACCTGACACGCCTAAGGCCCCGCCCAGGCAGCACAGATCAAGTTCCGATACTCTCAAAATAACAGACAAGTCGAAACAGACCGTCAAACTGAGAGACAAGGAGATCGAGAATCTCAACCCAGCCGAACCAGAGTTGTCTGTGATAACCCCAGTAAAGAGAAATTCCTGGCTATACTCCAACACGCCGATAAAGAGAAATATCTTCAGGAGAAGCCAAAGTGGCAGCTACGAAACCAATCATTCACCTCAAGCTCCGGTTGGCGAAGACGTTACTAATCTATCCGCTAGGACGAAGTCTATACCAGATTTTCCTCAGAAAATTATACTTGTAGAGCAAGATGGTTGTGAGAATGAGAGGGACAAGATATTCAAATCCGATCCGAATATTTTAGAATCGACCGGAGGTAAAAGTAAGAAGAAGAGCAAGGACCGCGAAAGGCGCAAAAGCATCACAAAACTGATAACTACCCTTTTTACAAAGAAAAGTCCGAGTTCAGGCAGTTCGAAAGGGTTGTTTTCGAAATTGTCACCCACCAAGAAGGAAGTTTCCAAGGTAAATATCATGATGGAATTTTGAAGTTGATGAATTGAGCTAAATTCTTTTAATATTTTGAGGGTAGAGAATATTTTCCTTATTTTTTCTTCAACGACAAGGTCATGGTTTTTTTTCAATCAATTCATCAATTTCGTTCTTTCATTTTTTGTCGTTAATTTTTGGATTTTGATGGAATTGAATCTCAAACGCAAAGAATCCTGAACGCCTCTTTTATTGCTAGAATTTTCACTGTGAATATATAACAGCCTAATATTGAATAGTAATTTGTTTTTTTTACCATTCCATAACCAGTTTGTCTTTTTCTAGAAGAATACAACTATTAAAGTTTCAACGTTTCTATGAATTTTCAAGTCATCCAAAAATAGTAAGGAGATGATGTAATATATTTCACAAGACCTTTGATAAATCAAATAAATAGGAGAGGCCCTAAGTTGGATCCTTGCGGAACTTCTGACAAGGCCGTGAAAGCCAGATTTGATGACTTTTGCAATTTATTTATGATTCTTCAGGTAGAGGGTCAAAACCACTCCTAGATCACTATGAAATCTGGAATCGAGTGTGAGACTTCATTAAATGCCTTAGCAAAATATGTATATACGATATCCACTTGATTATTGCTCTCTAAGACTTCAGTTATGAATTGAGTAACATTACTGACGATAGATCTTATTGTTACACAGATAATGAAAAACACTTTCACTTTATTACTATTACCTTGACAGCTAATCTGAGAACACACTGGGAAGTGGTTGTTACAAAAACCCTCTCACTCTTCCACTTCTTGAGTTCAATCTATGAAATATATTGTATTATTTGCTTTTCACCGAGTTCTTGAAATGGTGAGAACTTTGAAGAAACACATTTTTATTATTTTGAAACCTTCAAATCAACATCACGTCATGTCGATTTCATCAAAATCCAAATTCTCAAAAACATATCTAGTTAAAAGCCTTCTTATTTATTAAACCCGTGATTTACAGTCATGCGCTAATCTGGAGATGAAGGAAGTAAGAAATTTCACTATGAATGTTTATTTGTGTTGTGTGCATGCTGATATTTTTTTGTGGCATGTTTAAGTTTTTGTTCTTTCAATCAACTCTGAGGAATAATATACAGGCATTGTCAAGGATACATTTTTTTAAATTTCTTTTAACATTTCAAACATGTTCAAAAACCTTCACTTTGTTTGTTTTATCCTCTAGAGTATGTACGATAGATATTTTGAAGTTGTAGTAGTTGGTGGTGAAAGTTGGGATTTTGTAGATCGATGATTGAGAATAATGACTGACACAAGTTTTTTTTAATCATTTTTATTATTTTATTAATTCTTATGGTATATGTCAGATGTGTACTTTTATGGTCATAGACAGGTGCCAAATGTGAGGTGCTATTTCAAAAATTCACTTAAGGGAAAGAACTTTTCACAAAAATTCAAGTCATGGAACGGAAATCCCAAAGAACAATCATCCTTTTGAATGTGCTGGTGAACAGACTGACGGGTATAAGTATTGAAACTCTTACCACCAGCCTAGGCAAACAAGGACAGTTCCTAAAACTTCAGTCGAGAAGGCCCAGACATAAGAAACTTAATCGTTTGAAAAATTCCTTCAAAGAAAATGAGTAAACCGAATCTGAATTTGAGCAGGCCATACGACCCAAGAACGAGAATACCAAATCAACTTCAAACGAACCTCCCGATGGAAAAGCGTTTCTGCTGTCACAGACTGAATCAGGAGAATTCTCAAGAAATCTTCATTCAAGCCAACGAAAACAATCAGAAATCACTGAAGTATCCCAGAGGGCTTTTAACTACACCGTGGTATACCAGATCGCTTGTAACTGTTGATAAGTCTACATTGGAACTACGAAGAGAAGTGTAAATAGCTGGTTCTCTGAACACAACATAAATTGTCGCCTGGTGCATGTAGTACCGAAACACACACTCAGAGAGGTACCCACATTATCGTGTTTGAAGAGACCCAAGTGCTCAATAGAATTCGGAGCTACTACCCAAGACTATGTAGGGAGGCAGTAGAAATTCAAAAACACAAAAACCATTTAAATAGAACAGAAGATAAAAATAACATCAATGAAGTATGGCTACCTGCAATAAATTATACTCGTAAAAAGTAATTTAATTTGACTAATAGAAACGAAGCCACGCCCATCTATAGTGAAACAAAACCGGAGACTCCAACCTTGAATGTAGTATCTACTATGATGACAACCTGAGTACTTTTTCCGTTCCTCATCAATTTTGATAATTTCTATCGCAGTGGTAGATTAAACTTCAGGCATAAAAACCTACAAACCACTGCATAAAAGCAGCTTCCACAAAAATTCAAGTATGTAAGAGAAACAGGTTTTGATCACAATCCTAACTGGAGTTGTCGTCTCCCAAATAAATGAGAATGGATGTCAAGCAGTGCCACAGTAGCAAATCGGCCGTCTCATTCAGAAGAAACGAACTTTTTAAATTCCAACGATACAATTTCTGAGAAATATAAAGATCAAATGGGTTTTACTTGATAACTTAACATATTGATCAAGTAACTGCTGCAAATATTGTTCGCCAACCTCCATAAAATAATATAGGTTATTTTCGAATCATTGTCATATATTTCTGAGCGCTTGTGGTGGTACTCACAAGTTTACCAGCCAGTCCGAGTACGATAGGCTTCGTTGTTTGTGCTCCCCATAAAAATCTAGAGGACTTCTGTATCTGTAGAGTAGTGAGGGTGAGTGTAAACCCACAGCACTTATGCCACATGTGACCTATTGTACATCCTCCCGAGGAGTTGTCCTAGATCATCGTCCATCCTGTCCTTTCTAGGAAGGTGCACAGGTCACTAGGAGACATCTCCCTTATATTGACAGGTGTAGGCCAAGACTTGCCGAACACATACTCTCTTTGGCAACATTGAGGTGTCTTACACCTTAGCTTGGATACGCTGGTCCACGGTGGCATGTTTTGCAAAGGTTTTCGGGGAGTTTTAGTTCCCCTCACCCTACTTATTTCTGCCACTGACCAGGAGTCCGGGGACCCCGTCCATAAGGCCACATTGGCTTCCCGGACAGGACCCCCAGTTCCATGGCCATTCCCCTATCCGCCACCCTGGGACGCGTCCGATAGGTAGCCCAACCCACGGGATCTAAAGGACTTAATTCAGGTCACTGAGAAGGCCATTCAATTGCATCCCTTTGTCTCATCCAGCAATCTTGAAACCTATTGTTCAAATAATAAGGCATATTTTATGAATAGTGTGGAGAAGTCCTATCTCATTATTTTCTCTTGTGAGCAAGATCATTCTTTACAATATTAGTAAGAGCTGGGTCAGTAGCAATTGGCAAGTACATATCACCTGTTCATTTTCCAGGAAGAAAAAAGGAACCTAAGAAGGAAATTTTCCAAAATACCAACCCACACTTTTGAGGGCTTTGAGTATGTACCACGTGGATTACCCTGAGCCCAGCCCAGTGAAAATAAGTGTGGCAATTAACTACCCCGTTGAAAAAAAGTATTCTCAACCAAACAACACATCAAATAGGAAGTTACCGTTTCCCTCGCTCATCTCATAAATGCAAAATTGCAAGGTTCTCTCGTTTCAATTTTTGTACCAAACAAATATCATAGGATGGACTTGTACGAGTACATAATAAAAATTTGCCAGGCAGTTCTACAACTTGAGTCATGAGCTTATTATCCATTGCAATTTTTCCCAATACTGTACCTCTGTAGCTTTGTTGAGTACGGGATATCCGCTCTGCTCATTCTTATTTCGCACCAAACCAGTTTCGTGAAATTTTGCCAATTACTTGTTGAGTAGCTATGAAAATCTTCATTTCTTCTAAATGTGTGAGCGGATTCCGGAAAGTGAAATAGCAGTGGATAGGGAATTGAAGGTCCATTTAGAAAAAAATGGTAGTTGATATTTCAGCTTAGATTGTTGAAGGTTTTCTAATGGAATTTTGAACGAATAATCTTCCCCTTACAAACAAACTTTACGTGTTTTTGGATTCTTGCGAAAAGTCTTTTCCCTGCTGTTCTGTCTTGCGGTATGTTTTGGATTTTGCAAGAACAATATAGTACTTTTATATCAGTATTAGACTTTATTGGTGTTCCTACTGAAGTTCATTGAAAAATCCAAATTAACCTTATTTTAACTGTTATGGATCTTACTCAAATCATCTTTTATGGTTTTTCAAATTTTATGTTACTGCATTTTGTTAAAAGACTATCGATTTGAATGTGATTGATATGCCCGAACATTCAATTTTTGTTTTCATAACTTGCCTTGAATTCTGTTCAATGTTTGACATGCCATATCTTTTCATTATTGCATTTTTTAGGATTCAGTAACGATAGAACCAATTCGAAAGAAAAGCTTTTCAGAAGGTTTTATCAATAGAAACTTGGTTACCCCGCCACCTGTACCGCCACTGCCATTGAATTACGTGGTTAGAAAAACTGGTGAGTCAGCTTTCATATTTTTCATTGTATTGAAATTTCGTTTTTTATTTAAATTTTTGTGGTAACAATAGTAACTTGATCTTCTTTGAGTGGTCCATTATTGTATACATTTATAACGTTCAGTTATTCAAAATATTATAATTCCTTTCGCAGTTATTTGGACAGCTTACATTATTTATATTTGAAAGTCTCAGCAAATTATTGAATTATTTCAGATGAGAGCTCGGATGGGGAACATGATAGAAAACATGATCACAGCTCTTGCGACACTCTCGATAATACCGGTATGTTTGAACAATCCACTTCAAGTCTTACTGGAAGGAGATCGAGTAGATCAGCAAAGAGGGCTAGTCGACAGGTTCAACATAAAAGGTGAAACTCTTGAAAAAATTTCAGAAAGTTTATTAAGATTCAGTTTGACGAAAGGTTTTTGCTCTATACTTCTCCAGATTCATACAAAGTAATAAAAATTAAAACAAGTTTTGCAATGAACTACCTAATGCTACAAAAAAAATTATTAGACAAAAATTCCGAATCGTTTTGAAAAAATATTTATTGTTTGTATAGATATTGTAACAAATTAAAAAATTAACTCTCTTAAATAAATTTATTTCCAACAATATTTCACTAATCACAAACTAATTTACTTACAACGCTTAGCAACTAACTCTTAATTTATTTCCACTATCCTTGTTTAACCTCTCGATTCACTTTCTGAACTCCCTCTTGGGTTGGGAAGCTGGGCTTATACAGCGGTAACGATCGTTTCTAGAAATCTGTAGTCGGTTCGTTTCTAGAGTTTAAAACGGCCTACACACGTAACGATTTTTTGTACTGTATGTTGAACTGCAAATTAAGAAAATCGTACAGCATGCAGTACAGCCATGTTTCATCCACACCTCCCAACAGCTCGTACTGCCGAGGTTTAGTTTTCAATCTTTAAAAAGTCACGTCTGAAAGAAGTTCTTATATTGTTTATTTTCTTTTTCATTACTTCTTGATAAACGTTTGGGAACAACTCTTTAAATTTTGCAAATGAAATATCGTAACTTGATTTTCTTTTTATTTTATTTGAGTAATCTTTTGATTTTACATCCCACAGGCAGCTGTTTTTTTTACATACAGCAATAAACTCTTCCCAGAACGTCTTATTTTTCATATCCATTATAATGATATGATATATATAAAACCCTTTTCCCTAAATGATTTGTTTTAAACGATATAAAATCGTAACTGTTTGTCTACAACCCAACCCCAGACACGACCGTTGATACGATATTTTATGGAAGCTCCGTACTGCGAACGATTCGACGACTGCATACTGCAAATCACCCAATTTGCGTACACACGTTATGATTTATCGTTACTGCGGCAGTACCGATGCATATCGTACTGCAAGCAGTACGAAAAGTCATAACGTGTGTAGGCCGTTTTACCGGCGGTTGCCGACTGCATACTTTTTGCGGTGATGTCATGTGTTTGTTCGCTGACCGGCATATCGGTCAGGGGCAGCTTGAGATCTGTTACAATATATTCTCTGATGAATAGAATAGAATATCCTTTATTCACCATAAAAAATTCAATAGTATTATAAGGTTTTGTCACATACCATATACCATAAGAATAACATAAAAATACTAAATAAACAAATAAAAAATAAACAAATAAGCAAATGAGATGTGAACAATTCCAATATAAATATTACTGTCTACGTAGGTTGTAACTTCAAAATATTAGTGTTGGAAGTCAAATGATAACAATTTGTCGATACTATAAAAAACGTTTTCCAGGCAGATATTTCTAATATAATTTGTAAATGAAGCTGTATTTTAGTTGTTTATACCTTCTGGTGGTTTGTTAATAGTTTTTCGAAAAACGGCAGTAATTTAGTCTTGTGAATTCAATTTTAATCTGTTGTGATTATCTGGTGTTGTGTGAATGAAAATCGTTTTGATTCAGATATAAGTGAGGATATTTTTTTACATAGTTTATACACGAATAAACGAAAAGAAAAGGTATGGCATTTTAAGGACGCAACTATAATAGACCTGCGAAGTGTTGATCAGTTTACCGATGTTTCAAAGTATTTAACGAACTGGTTCACCTATTCGCTCGTACATCCTATCGATATGCAGAAGCTATCTTGTTACGCAGGGCAAATTTTATGGAATCATCTTACTTTTCAATTATTTACAATGGCGATGCATAGACAGTAAAAATGACGCCGGTAAGAATTTAGTTACAACATTTAACATTGTTGCCGTAAGCTCTCAGTTCAATTTGTATACGAGTTACCTTCAACTGAAAATTGTTATAGTATATATGGTTATGACATCTTAACCAAAATCCAATTGTCCCACTGGAAGAGCCTAGGAGAGCCAAGACCAAAAAAGCACACCAAGTTTGATAAAATGCCAAGATTTTGCCACATGGTCGTACGGTCAATATGGACTATTATTTTGAAGATATGCGCCCCTTGCGAGAAGCGATACGAAGAAAACTTTCAGTATTGTGGAAGAAAAATTCATGGCTTTGCATCACGATAATGCACCTGATCACTATTCATTGCTTGTTTATAATTTTTTTGACAAAATCGATACCGTAATCCTCTCACAGCCACCGTATTCACCAGATTTGGCGACTTTCTCCTGTTCCCAAAATTGAAGAGACTTATGAAAGGACTGCGTTTTGCAACGATTGAACAACTGTATTATATCTGAGGGGGCTACTTTGAAGAGGAAAAAATAGAAGTTGACAAATAAATAAATTATTTTTTGGGAAAAATAAAAACTCACCTTATTTTTTGAACATAGTAGTAAATAAATATGTAAATATAAATATAGACACATATGTGAATGTATTTATATATGAATAAAATATAAATAGAAATTGATACAAATGTTTTTAGACATCGTATGGCTCAAGAAATACAACGAAAGCTCGAGGAAACTGAGGTAAAAACCAAAGTACTTGAACAAAGAGGCGTAATGGTTGAAAAAGCCCTGAGAGGAGAAGACAGCGGATCTTGTTCTAAAGATGAGTGCGATTTGCTGCAGGAATGGTTCGATTTGATGCGAGATAGAACAGAGCTCAGAAGGTACGAAAGGGAGCTCACCGTTAGAGCCCAAGAGTTAGAATTGGAAGACAGGCATGCCAGGCTACAGCACGAGCTTCGCGAGAGGATAGAACTTGGTGAGTTGTTTTTTCTGTCAGTTTGGAATGATTGAGTGAGAGTGTGACTTTTGCATTTTAGATAAAGAAAAAACTGAAGAGGATGTGAAGACTGAAGAAAGTATTATAAACGAAATGATCAATATTGTTGAAAAGAGGGATTCCTTAATAGCTGAAATAGAAGAAGATCGTATAAGGTGAGTGTCATTCACTAATTTGTTTGTGATTCGTGAGTTTATATTATGGAAATAATGTATTATCATATTGAATAGATATCATAATTTTTTTTTTGGTTGAATTATGTTTTTTGTCTATTTGCTCATCAGTCGTTCTTTCTACCTTTTGCATCTTGTAATCGAAACATTATTTAGCTATATGAAAAAAATGTCATTTCCATACTCGTTAATTTGATAAACGATATTTTCAAAGAGGGGATATTTCCTGAGATACTGAAGACTGGAAAAGTAATACCAATATTTAAGGGTGGTGATAACAAAAACTTAGAAAATTATAGACCTATAACAATTGTGTGCTCATTCTCTAAAATTATTGAAACTATAATAAAGACAAGAATAATAGACTTTGTTGATCGTTATGTGAAACAAACTATGTTGCATGGGTATAAGGGGCAAAACTTATTCTCTCATTGAGACATTTTTAAAGGAAAGATCCCAGTTTGTCGTTGTTGGTGAGAGTATGAGTGAGCATATTAAAAATAATTGTGGCGTACCACAGGGTTCCGTATTGGGGCCCCTGTTCTATACACTGATGATACTGTCACTGAGGCAGGCCGGGCTTAAGGGAAGGTATTTCACGTTCGCCGATGACACGGTCATTTTGTACAGTGGATCTGATTTACATTTACTGGAGAACACAGTTAATGAAGATGAAATAAAATTTTATTTCAAATTCCATTTCGAACCCACACAAATGATTTATTCTCACAGACTGAACTACACTCAATTAAATATCTACTTAAACTTGAGCAATGCAAGAACATATATAAAATAAAAAACAAAAGAATCAAAAGCAACAACGATCTACTAGTCAACAACCAGTTTCATGAGTATAATACAAGAGGTAGAAATGACTTACACCTGAGCACGGTAAGAATGAACAAAGGATTATGCAATCCTTTTACACAGGCTATAAAAGTCTTCAATGAAATACCTGTCCATATACGTGAGTTGCCGGGCTATAGTTCATTCATCAATAGTTTAAAAGAACACCTGAGCCTCGGGGCACATGTCTGATACTTTGATACTATGAGCTTAGTAGTGGTTTACTAGTTTTTATGTTTCACTTGTCATGTTGAATGTTTGTGAATCCCGAGACATTTGCAACCATTCTGCCGTTTTTCCGTTCTTTTCCGATGAGATTTTGGGATTGAATGAACTGAATTGAGTAGTAGAGGAACTTGAAATAGAAGATTATTTGTCTAATTCTGTGATTATGTCCTGTTATTGACACTTTGATGTTGATTTATTGTAGTATGACAACTATGGTAAAAATCACTACATAGTATAAAACAAAGTTGCTTCATGTTGTCTGTCCCTATGTATACCTACACCTTTGAAACTACGCAACGGTTTTTGATGCAGGTTTTTTAAATAAATAGGGTGAGTCCAGAGGAAGGTTAATATGTATAAAACATGCATAATATAGTAGAGAAACACTGATAGTTTTAAAGATGTTTAATATAATGTACAGCATGTAATTTAAATGAATATTTTCGAAGGTGTTACAGATTTAAAATGCAAAGACATGCGGTTGCGGCGGTACTGGCTGGGAGGCCGGCAACGCGTGCCTATAAACAGCGCTTCGAAGGCCGCGCTTCGCCTTATAATTTTCCTAAACGGAAAATAAAGATTAAAAAAATAAATAAATCGTGGATTACACAGGGCATCAAAATTTCTGCGACCAACTTGAGATCGCTACACTCAATACGAAAATATTTTTCCGATAAATTTTTTATAACATTTTTCAACAAATATCGTCAAATTTACAGACGGGTAATTAAACATGCAAAAGAAATTATAATCTTCCCGATTCCGCTTTGGATACACTAGTGATGGCTATAAATAAATCATTTTCCCTTGAAAATTTCCCTCCATGTCTAAAAACAGCTCTTGTAATTCCTATTTTCAAAGGCGGTAATGCAGAAGATCCAAATAACTTCAGACCTATCTCCATGCTCTCAACACTCTCAAAAATCATAGAAAAAAAAGGTATTAGCTTTTCTTTATAAAAACAATATATTAACCAACTTGTTAATTTGGCTTTCAGAAGGCAAAAGGAACAAAAATGATGCAATCTATTCCTTTCTTGAACATGTCTACATACATCTCAACAATAATGAGGTCGTAGCTGCAGTATTCTGCGATTTCTCCAAAGCTTTTGATTGTGTAAATCATGAACTCCTTTTGCAAAAGTTGAACTACTGTGGCTTTAGAGGAGTGTGTAATGACTGGTTCAGGTGTTACTTAAGTGATAGAAAACAGTTAGTAAGGTCAAACGAAAAACTATCACACACTATCTATCTTACGGGGGGTTAGGTTAGGTTAGGGGGGTTCCACTGGGCCCGATTATTTTCCTTATTTATGTAAGTGACCTTATTACTCTCTCAATTCAAGGTATTTTTACGATCTTTGCGGATGACACCACGCTCCTTTGGCATGGAAAAATACTTCTTATATGAAAGAAACTTCTCTAGTGATTTAGAAGTTGTGAAAAAATGGTGTGAAGCAAACTACTTGTGCTTTAATATTAAAAAAACAAACCTACTAACCTTCAGCTGTAATATTAACAATTTATACTTGAATGGACAAATTCTTGAGAATAAGATCCAAATTTCATACTCGAAACTATTTGCCTGATTTACAAAAAACATAATATGGTTGGAACTCCGGAACCTACAAATTACATAACCCGGCAAGTAACTGAAAATAAAATACATCTTCCTGTTCCAAAAACAAGCCAGACAAAGTATTCTTTAATTTATGAAAGTAAAAAGCTGTATAATCACATACCTTACGAAATTAGGAAGGAAAAAAGCTATAAAAAGTTCAGAAATCTTGTTAAAGATGCACTTGCAACTGAAGCGTACTACAATCTAGATGAATATTACAATGGAACTTTGCTGTGATTTAATATAGGTGTTTTTTTTTGTTGTTTATATTGACACCTATACTTTAAATTATATTTTATGCTGGGATATATCTTATTTTATTGCCATGACAATGACATGTGAACTTATGTCCAAATTGTGTATATTTGTTATTTACATCTTTTGAAAGGGACTATACTGCTATACTATTTTGTCTACAATCTTTGATAAATTTTATTTTCTATTGTTATATTTTATCTATTAGATACTTAGTTTTGCTCAAATTGTGTTTCTGGGTATTTGTGTTTTTGAATTGTTTTTCTTTCATTCATTGAAGTGCTATATATACCAGATTTTTAAACAAGCTTTGTGAATAAGATTGTATTTTCTTGGATAATAAAGTATATGTCTATCTATCTATTTATAGCAATTTATGATTATCAGCGATCGACGCGTTTATACGTATATTTAGTATCATAGTATATTTAGTATCATATCATAGTAGCATAGAACTGGGTACACCGCAAGGAAGTATCCTAGGCCCGCTACTATTCATTTTGTACGTCAATGATCTGCCTTTACACATAAGTATGGGAGAGACATTCATGTATGCAGATGATACCTCAATAGTGGTGCATGGCAAAACGCCAGAAGAAGCAAATAACAGGGCCCTTGCAGTCATACATGAATTTCATGAATGGTGCCAAAGAAATCAACTTTTAATCAATATTAATAAGACAACATGCATTGAATTTACTGGAATGCATAAAAACCAATCAGACTACAATATATTAATAAACAATATCACGATGAGCATGTGTGAAGATGCAAAATTTTTGGGCACATTCATCGACTGCAAAATGCACTGGAACCGGCACATTGACTTTATCTGCAAAAAACTCAGTAGCTAGTGCTTTGCGATTAAACAACTGAAAAGATCCTTGGACATGAAATCTCTACTATTAGTTCACTCAACTCTGAACTACAACATTATGTCATGGGGAAATAGCACAGAGATGGAAAGACCTTTTGTAATACAAAAAAGGATAATTCGTGTAATATTTGATCTTTCCTATAACGAATCATGCCGAGATACTTTCATACGGAACAACATCCCTACCTTAACTAGTATATATCTCATGAAAATCTTAATGTATGTCAAAACAAACATCAATTACTTTGAGAAAGTCGGAGATATTTCAAAGTATGCCACTAGAAATTCTAAAAATTTGCGACTGGGCAGGGTTAATCACGCATTCTTTAAAAAAACTGGAATCTACAGAGGATGTTCTTATTTCAACTTGCTTCCTCACAATATCAAATGTTCGTCCGTAATAATCTTCAAAAAAGAACTGAGAAAGATTATGAACAAAGGTTGCTTCTACAATATACAAGAATTTGAAAATTATTTAAAAACTATAAATAGTAGTACATAACCAATAAGTAAACCTTGTTAGCATAATTAGTGGGTATAATTGTTTAACTGCACTCTAGTTTTGTGTAAGGTCAGTTGGTATATTGTAATGTAATCGTGTACACAGTGTATTAATGGATTTTTATCTCCAGTATACTAAGTTTGTATCTGTTGTATGCTATTTAATCGTACACAATTCATATTTTATGTAATTTCCATAAGCTTACCTTGGTTTATATCTTTGTTGACGTTCACAATCCATGTCTATGGAAGATATGTTTAGTATATATACCTTATACATTTCATTTTATTTATTTCTGACTTACCTAATCCATGTAATAGTGGCAATGAAGGAGAAAATAAATATCTATCTATCTATTTATCTATCTATCAGCATTGCATCCGTGTGGAGCCAGGGCGGCTCGCTAATATGTTATATTACTTGAATATTTTTCTTTTATTCACATGATGAAGTAATCTCAATATTTTGTTACAGGTATTCGAATGAAGATCGTGATTTAGAGGAACAAATGCTTGCTAAGGGATTGAGGTTGACGCCTATTAAGAAAAGTCATGAAAAGTAATGTATCTAGTATTTAATAAGTTTTGTTACAAACTTATCTGAATTTAAAATCGAATTGGCAATGACAGCAGTTTTCTACTGTTCAAAAATATATTCATTTACATTTTTACAAGTAAACATGGTCGAGTTTGGAAAATGAATAAATATATAAAAATTATTTATTCGCTGACTGTTGTCATGGTTTGATTCAAGGTGAAAGTATTCTTTGCTAGTTTATTTTTATACTTGTGAACCTAAGATTTGAAAGTGATATATTAGCTATTTTAGTATATTATATATTTAGGTATTACTCAATAATATTGAAGAACCTTCATAATCTGTCAAAATATTACAATTTGTAAAGTTTTGGGATTAAAAAACTTATTCGTATTATATAAATAATATTCGTGTTAATTTTTTCCCAATGAAAATCATAATTCAAGATTTTTAATATTCAATTTTATTCAACTATTTATATACAGTATTCAGTTTCTGCTGATAATGAAGGTTCTATTCAAGTGAAAAGAGTTGATTTAGAAGAAACATATTTCCAGATTCAATTATATTTTGAATACATTTTTCTAAATCATCATCATTTAGAATATTTCTGAAATCTTATTGCATAATGATTTTCCTAAATAATACTTGTTAACTCAGATTAGGAATACAAAAATTGTCGATATATTTTATAATTTTTCAGCATATACAAGTTCATTATTATCTTGAATATGTAGATTTTTCTCCATTTTCAAGTAGCAGTATTCAGATCTATCATTATTGTGGCATAATACCAGATGTATGACAAAGAATTTTTTTTTAAATAGAAAATTCAAATAAGTTGAGTGAGTTTTGCATGTTTTGTATTATTGTACCAAGATATTTTTATATACAAAATAATAGTGTTAAAATCAGCATGATATAATTATCATTTGAACACAGCTAAATTTATCGTAAAGTGGGAAATATTTTTAAATTTATTTACCACAGATTCCATACTCTAGATGGTTCTCATCAGATTTAGTAACAATATTTATTAACCCAATTTATTATGCCAAGCTCTAAAATATATGCATGTATTTCATTTGAATTAATTCTAAAGGCATTTGGGATCCTCATTGTCAGAAGATAAATTTGAAATTGTGTCCAAAACAAACACTGTTCCTTAACACCAGAACTGCAAGATTCTTTACGATGCGCGTTTCACCGGCCAAGTTGTCGTCTTCATTACCGTACTCCATCTCCTGAAGACGCCAACTCAACTGGTGAAACGCCTAGAAAAGAATTGCAGTTCTGGTGTTTGGGATAAGTGCTTGTTTTAGATTTATTCAATGCCAGAGGTTCCAGTTTTAGCCGTTATTGAAACAGTGTCCTATTTAGTGTTATGTAATAATCAGATAACCCATCCAAAAATATCTTTACGTAACTAAAATATGAATAGTACTGTGCAATTGAATTTGAACCAAGTGCAAGGCTTAACAAAATAAATCATAACTAGTCTCTCAATGTAATATTTATTTTAGATAATTTAGTTAGTAATTGAACAAATTTATTGTGATTATTGAAAGCATTTTTCACTGAGGAATTGTAAAGAATTGTACAGATTATATACTTTTGTGAATGCATTTCAGGTGTGTGAATAAAAGGCTTTTTATACCTCATTTGAAAACTTTTCATTTATTTATCATTACTCCTGGGAATGAATTTGTCAAACCAAGCGAGCGTCGTAAATCATTTGATAGGGTAGATTACTATACTCTTTGTATGATTTGTGACAGGAATATTTCAAAAGGAGAGTAATTAATGAATGAGAGTAATTGTACTGAAATAATATTTTGTATATTATTCATCTCCCATCCAAAATCTAAAATTCTTTTTCTATTCAAACATTGTTAAGATATAAGTAACAACTATTAAATATAATTTGAGGTGGTTTAGTTGGGCTTCCAACTGCTAGATGGGGCAAAAATCAACTTAGTTTTTATATAGACAAATATTTTAAAGTCCAATATAGAACATCCTCAGTTCACTTCAATGAAGCGAGGCTAACTAGTTACATTACTCTACTAGATTAGTCTATATAAAAAGCTATTAGGTGACGGGATAATTTGAATTGTTTAGCCTTCAACCGCTAGATGGTGCTAATATAATTAGTGCATTATTGGAAAGTTCATTCCCAGAAACTAAACCACACGGTGAAACAAAGTTGTTGAGGTTTCTTATGCATCCCATGAGTGAAAGTAATTTACTTATACATCAGTTTTTCGTGTCTATAATAAACGCACTGAAAAAAGTTCTACTCAGAAATAAATAACTCAAATCACAATAACCCCAAAACAATAAACATAATCCACTTTCAATATTCAGCTGTTAGAATAGCGTTGTCATCGGTAAAATGTTTCCCTTTTTGAAGAACATCCTAAATCTCTTCTAATAAAAATAGTGCAATGATTATTGACCGGAAAGACTGATGAATAGGTAAAATAAATTAATGACTCATAAGCACAAGAAATCACAACAATATTATGAAAAGAGCTGATGGGACTATTTAGTTTCAATATGTCCGGTAGATGTCGCATCTGGCGATGAACCTCCCAATTTAGTCTTTGTCTGAAATTCAGACAATGAATTAGTGCAAACTCAAAATTTGTAACTTGGTTCATCACTAGATGGCAACACAGTTGTTTATCGTTTATAAGATGGCACTTTCAGCAGACAGCCCAAATTTTATTTTCGTCTTCCGCCCATGATGTCACTGAACATTTTAGTACTTTTTCAAATTCACTTCATCATTGTGTTGATTGGCACATTAAAAAAATAAAAGTATTGTATATAAATACATTGTCATTTATTCATGATTCTACAATTTGATTTGTAAATTACAAAATATCAGAAAAAACCCAATAAAATCATAAAGCTGCCTTGGATGGCATTGAAAATTTGAAAGGACAAGAGATTGAGCAAAACAAGTTTTCAAGTTCAAATGGGTAGTTTTGAAAAAAAGGAATTGGTCCCAACAAAATAGTTTACCGGACTGGAGAAAAGCATGTAAAAAACTTTGATTTACGTTTGTACTACAATTACTGTATAAAAAGAGGTTATTCACAGTGTTCCCAAAATATGCTGAACTTTAAGTAAGGAACATAAAACATGCACAAAAACTTTAAAGAACTCAGCATTTTTTCGACAAAATAGTGATATTGTCATATAAATTCAATCTCAACAGAGACAGTGATAGGATTGATAGATCATTGGACATTATCCCTTCTAGTAATGAGGAAGGAAAACTGTGAAGAACTCTTCATGAAAGACGATAAAACACGTTAAAAAAATCTTGATTAAAGATTCTGTAAAATATAATATAAAAGAATAAAACGAAACATAAGAAAACAATAATTAACATAATTCAATAAATTATAACAGATTTTATCTTACAATGATCACATATTTTCATTTAAAATATAAATTCTAAAATTACAAAATATTTTGTGATTATCACAAAGTTAGTATAAAAAATTCAAAGGAAATAAAATACTAAAATTGACAGAAAAATAAATTATACTTAACCTATTGTAAAACTATTCTTCTGAAAAGCTGTTGGAGATCAGCCAGTCATTGGAGTCATCCAAAAAAGGAACTTAAAAAACTTGTAGACAGGAATATTGATGTTTGAATACAAGTAGGTAAGTTTGAAATGTTTTAAAATCATACGTCATACCCAACTTTCTTTAATATTTACAAGGTATTACTACATACCACACTAACACGAGCACATTTTATAATACATAATACGGATAATTTCTAAAAGGAATTTGTGTGAAGTTCAGCCTGTCCCAGAAAAGAGGCAAGGAAAGTAACCGAATTCTACTTGTTAACTTTCATGTACAAGAAAATATTTCAAAATAGGCCGTTCTGCTTATAAAAATATAAAATTTAACTATTGAATAAACGTTTTCAATATAGAGTTACAAAAAACTTGTTAGAACATTCCATTTCATAAACTAATTTGGAACAAGCTGTACAACAACTAATATCAACTGTATTCTCAAATGTATCTGGCACTCTTCATATCAAATATCTATGAAATTATGGCTTGACTCAGCTTCTCAGAACCTAATTACCGAGTCAGAATTAAAAGAAAATTCCCTGTTAATACATCGATTTTCAAACATCTACTTTCTCTTGTTTGCCTTCTCAGCCTTTTTCTGCAATTTTTCCTTTTCCTTTCGATCCCTTTCCATCTGCTTCCTTTCCTTCTCTGCTTGTAGTTTGAGATCTTTAATTTTTCTTTTGAGACGATTCTTATCGTCGCTAGTGATTCCTAATATTTTGAAATCCGCCGATGTCAGCAGCAGCAGTGCGCTTCCATTTACTTGTAACTCCGCAAATTTGCTAACATGCTGCTCCATTCCGATGGCGAGGAGCCACTGGCAGACCTGAAAGGAACAAGAAATTGAAACATGATGTGTTCTTCAATCCCAAATGTTTATCGCAAATACTTCACTTTTCTCAACACATTGAGCATGTTGACTTGAACAATTATACTGATTTAGATTTAGGCATTTTGAACATGTTTGATGAATTTTTACTCATTTTTAATTGCTGTGTTGGTTACTCAATATAAGTACCTCGCCATTATGTCTACAATTTTGTAACACCGGACGGCGAGGCAATAACACAGTGCCACATGCAAGTGCGTACTCGAGCTCTATGCAAGTCGGATTTTGAAGTTGTTCAAGCAGCTCCTGCGTCTGCCTGTACAGTTGGTCATTTGTTCTTGTGTCATCGTTGTGAAAAGAAGAGCAGAACAAAACTGCAAGATCCAAATGGCGATGTATCACATGTTCCAAACATTATTGTACAAATTTTACCAGTTCGTACTTCCATTGTCCATAATAAAATCATAGTAAAAACCTACTTGATCCTTGTTCCAATCTAGAATCGGAACCGACTGCCAGAAATTCGTGTTCCTCTTATCGCTGCTGATGCTGCAAGACGACAGACTGAGATCGGTGGTGCCCCACGAAGCGTCGTGCCTCGATGGCGAGACCGAGCCTGAAGACAGGCTGGAGGGCGAGGGGGGCGTCGGCGAAGTGTTGGTCTGCGGCTGCCAGGGCGTGCTACCTGGGGGTGATAACGTAACAGGAACAACTTTTTTTACTACAACACAAATTAAAAGAAAACGACTTTATTATTCTATTCGAACGGCAAGTTGGAAAGAGTACTGACCCTTGGCGTTCGCTTCGTGAACGGCCTGCCTTATCTCTTCGAGTAGATGGTGGGCGGGATCGTCTTTGGTTGTTTTGTCGTTCAGATCGTCCGTCGAACTGCTGGTGCTGTCACCGCCGAGACGTTTCTCACGCTCTGCCAAGACCTGAAATATTTATTTGTATTCATTATTCCCAGCAACATTACGTGTTAAACATTTAACCTAAATTAGGAATCACACGTTAAAAGGTAAGACCTCGTTAGTCCTTAGCTCGCACAAGTTTCTCAACTTCTGAGAGTTGTCGTTCGTATGGAGGCGGCAGCTGATTAACGGAAAAACAGATTTTAAACAGGTTTTTTAATATTCAGTAAATGTGAACAACTTTAGTATTTTCTCCTTCTCAGTTTTTATTTGAATGACTCTGGTAAAATTGGTGTGAACTTTAATGAGAAGTGAGATATACAGTGCATTTCTTTAATGCCCCCCCTTTTATTTGTTGAAAGGGTCAACTAAAAAAATTGAAATTTGGGATAATGAAATTAATGCATGAATCCTTTATTTTGAAGTCAAATTGACAGATGAAACTTTCAAGATGGCGACTGGGAAAAAAAATTAAATGAAAAGGGCGGTGTTGTGAGATATCATTTTGAAGCTCCTGACAAATACTTCGCAACCCTAGAATATAAAGTCAATATCTTCACCTACTACAAAATGGCGGAACATTTAATGCTTTCCTGAAGACAAACACATTATTATCGATATTGCTAGAATGAATGAATACGTTTATTTAGGAAATCCTAATATACATACAATAATAATAATAATATACAATAGAAGCAGAATGATTGTGTTATATATAGTGACCTTGGAAGAAACTGACAAGTGATAAGAGATTAGAGTAAAAAAGTAAAGTTTCTTTGATATTTTTTTAGTTATGTATTTGAAGTGTGCATCATAAGATAAACAGTTGTCTAACATGAATCCCAGGTATTTAATTTCGGTTACAAATTCTATTTCTTCTTCATTAATTTCCAAAGAATAGGAATTTATGTTTATATATTTATATGCTGTGGTCAGAATCATGGCTTTTGTTTTAGACACGTTTAGTTTTAATTTGTTGACGTTCAAGTATTTATGAATCTCCTCTAAGCAGATATTCATTTTTGTCAAAGCTATCTCTAAATCTTTATGAGATGTTGTTAACATTGTATCATCAGCAAATAAATTCATAAAGTCACAATTTTGACAAACTGATGTCATTAATATATATAAGAAATAGTAAAGGGCCCAAGACACTTCCTTGAGGTACCCCAAATTTTGCGTCAATCGGAGATGAGAGAACATTACCCACTTTAGTGATTTGTCTTCGATCGCTTAAGTAGTATTTAAACCATCCTAGCACTGTTCCTTTAAGACCTATAGCGGTCAATTTCCTCAAAAGCTCTTCTCAAGTTTAAGAATACTGTTACAACATAATCTCCGTTGTCAATAGATTGAGTCCATTTACTAATCGTAAGTTGTAAAGCCGTTTCACAAGAATGATTTTTCCTAAAACCGGATTGATTACTTATGAGAATATTATGGCAATTCCAACAACCCGATAAAGTTTGTTAAGTTATTTTTTGCTAATAAAAAACGACAAAAAATATCAGTATGACAATGAACATCATTGTTCAGTTAGAATGTTCTCATTTAGTTTTCGGTGTTACTAGTAGACAGGTACCACATCAACAATCTCTAAAATGGTCAATTCTCGCCCATTGGAAGAAAAAATTGAAGCGATTTTTATTTACGGTGCAACGCGTTACTTTCACAAGACCGAAAGTATTTTCAATGAACGTTTTCCGAATCATCCTATCTGTAGAAAATATTTAAGGGAGCTTGTATCCAATTTCACACCTACCGGTAGGGTACATAACAAAAAGTTCCCAGGTCATCAGTCCATTCCGGAAGAACAGCAAGTGCAAATAATTGGTGAGATGGTAGTAAATCCTGAACAGTCTACTTATTTCGTCGCGAATGTTTGTGAGGTATCTTCTTCTACTGTGTGGATACTTTTAAAAAGGATTAGGTATCATCCATACAAAATTTAAATGGTACACCAATTAACTGAAGATGACCCTGATCGAAGAACAGAATTCTGTGAAATCATGACGGAAACCATTGTGAGGCAATGTTCACAGACAAAATTGCCGTTATTTGAGTGACACAACCCTCACGTTTTCCGGGAAACACATACCCAATATCTAGAAAAAAATTAACGTTCGGATAGGAACATTGGGAAACCATATTGTAGGACATCTATTTGTTGATCCAAATTCAACAGGGGAACTGTATTCGAATATGATGGAAACTACTGTTGACCCTCTCATCACTGAAATCGTCGAAGCGAATCCTAATGAATTCCATATGGATATTGTATTCCAATAAGATGGAGCACCACCACATTACTCCAGACAAGTAAGAAACTATTTGGATACTACTTTTTCCGGGCGATGGATTGGCCGTCGAGGTCCTACAGAATGGCCAGCCCGCTCGCCAGATTTGACACCTTTGGACTTTTTTTATGGGGCTATTTGAAGCGAAAGGTGTACGAAATTGAACCTGCTTCAATACTGGATATACGGCAGAGAATAATAAATATTTGTAGAGATATTGACGTTACTGTGTTCGAAAATGTTCGGCGTGAAATATCGGATAAGCTGTTCATATGTCAAGAAGTTCAACGCAACCATTTCGAGCATCTTCTGAACTGACCTGAAGCTTATTACCTCATATTATGTGTAGTCAAATATCAATTTATTCAGGCAATTATCAAAAGTTAAGCCATTTTGTATTAGTTTAAGATATTGACATTATATTCTAGAGTTGTGAAGCATTTGCCAGGAGCTTCAAAAAGATGTATCACAAGACCCCCCTTTCCATTTAATTTTTTTTCCCAAACGGCACCCAGTCGCCATCTTGAAAGTTTCATCGGTCAATTTCACTTGAGAATAAAGTATTCATACATTAATTTCATTATCCCAAATTTCAATTTTTTGAGTTGACCCGTTCAAAAAATAAAAAGAGGGGGGGAACATTATGCACTGTATAGAGAGCTCTTTTAGAGTTGGGTGTTAGTCTATAGTTATGATATTTGGGAATAGTGCTTGTTTGGAATTTTAGCTTTCTCAGTTGCGGTAAAGTATCTCATCAAAGAAACGTGAAATGATTCATGTAAGCTACCGTTTATAATACAAAGAATATTAATTGTGGACCACTGTCGTTGATACCAATGAATAAAAAATAAATAGAAACAACAATTCATTATCCAGAAACAAAATTACTCACTTGCTTCAACTGTTCCGCCAAGGAAGAAGGCGGCCCCACGGCTATCCCCGTTCCCCTTCCAGCGACGTCGCTCCAAGGATCCGGACTTGGCTGCTGGAAAGTGCTGGTCTCCCTCTGGATGCTGGCATAGACTACGCTCGAACTCTGATTCGAAACGGCACTCTGTTGTGTCGAGTACTGACTGGATTTCTGCGATTGAGTATTTTGCACCTGAGTATATTGCACTGTGTACTGCGATTCTTGAGCGTTGTTTTGTTGAGCGGAATAGTAGTGTTGTTGTTGATGTTGTTGCTGGATGACAGCGTTGAAGGAAGTCGGTCTTGAGCTGACCAAGCTGTGAGATTTTTGTTTCATTTCATTTGCTTGGGCGAACACGGAATCGGTAACTTCATCAGAGGAGTTGTAGCTCTCGTCGAGACCATAATCTGAGCTGCTGTTGCTTAACGAGCCTTTTTTCACGCTCGGTAGCTGCCTGTTGCAAGATAATTCAAATTGAGACATCCGAGACTGAATGTTTAGACATTATACAAAAGCATTGTTCAACAATTAAAACGGATTTCGTTTGTTCAATAAATACAGTATTGTCTTACCTGTTAGCTAGGGCACCCCTTCCTGCAAGTTCAGCCTTACTTTTACTGGCCGAGATATCCAGTAATTCGTGTGGCGGTACTGCCCTGTCAAATTCCTCTTTTATAGGCATTTTTCGTTCGACAGTTGCGGTTTTGTCATCGTCAGGACTTGCGTCTGATATTTCCGTATCGGAAAAATCAGGTTGTAGCGACTGGAACAGGGGTTTGGGGGGCTGCCTTTTGGACATTTTTGGTGTAACCTATTCCCGAATAAAAATAACAAAACATTAATGGAGACCTATATTTTGAAGACAATTTATGGAATTTCGATTCTAGAATGAATAAATATAGTTTAAAAAATTAAAAAACGCGCTTTTAAAGAACAGCGAACTAAAAAGTTGAAAATATTTTTTTTCAAATAAGCTTGAAACAATAACGAACGAAAATACTAGTATTATTGTGAAAAAAGCGACGGGCGCTTGACATACAAAAAATATGGCACACGCCCACCCTTTTTTCACAATAATAATAGTATTTTTCGTTCGTTATTGTTTTAAGCTTATTTAAAAAAAATATTTTTAACTTTTCAGTTCGATGGTCTTTAAAACCGGGTTTTTTAGTTTTTTATAACTATATTTATTTTTCATTTTTTAGTTTCATATGCTATGAAATCACTTTGTTGAATATTTTAATACCATACCCACACTACTGGCTAGCAATGTTGAAGAATCATCAGAAGAACCCACACTTAGATACTTCAATCCTTATACTTTTTCATTTAAACCAACAACAGAACCAGAAATAAATGATATCATCAAAAACCTAAAATCCTCTCAATCTACTGGTAATGATGAAATAAGTCCTAATCTTTTAAAAAAGTGTTCGTCATTTATTGCAGGCCCACTAACTTTTGCCATCAACTGCTCGTTGGAAGAAGGTATTTACCCAGATAGCTTAAAAATTGGAAAAATAAAACCTATACATAAAAATGGAAATAAAACTCAAGTTGAAAATTACAGGCCCATTACTGTCCCCAGTGCTTTTGCAAAGGTTTATGAAAAATGGGTGTCNTTTAGAAAAATGACCATTTATATTTTCCGATTTCGGAGAGGGAGCCTGACAATCAGCTACAAAGCCCAAGGAAGGCAGACGTGTTGATAAACAAAAATACGTTTTTCAAATGGAGAAATACATGTAAAGTGAGTTCGAATTATATCAAGGTTACGTACAGCGCCATCTTCCCGCGAATAGATCAAGCAATAATGTAGATAATTTTGTCAAATATAGATTCCAAGCATTCAAACTGGAATGAAGAGTTACAAACAAACACCTGCCAATATAAAGGAGAAGTCTCCCAGCGACCTGTCCACCTTCCTGGAAAGTACAGGATGGACGATGACCTAGGAGGACAACTCCTCGGGAAGATGTACAATGGGTCACATGTGGTCTAAGTGCGTGGGCTTACACTCACCCTCCCCATTCTACAGATATAGATACAAACAAACATACATACATACAGGTGAAGCTAATATAATGTGTAATGTAATAAAAATAACTTTCAATTATAATTAACATTATCATTATGAAAACAAAGAATAAAGAAAAAATGTAAGTATGGAATATTACTCCGAAAACTTAAGTGAGTCTACTTCAAACTGTAATATCTCAGTGGATACTTATTGAATTTAATCAAAATAAACGACATTTGAATCAGTGCACTTTTGCCCAATAACAAAGCCGATTAACTCAGTCAGCATAAAAAGTATGTGCTCGGGATTCGATGAAATCGACGAAGGCCGTTTTTGTTTTGCCTGGTCCTGATTGGAAAAGGTTCTACCAGTGAGAAAGTTATTGAAGTGCTTGAAAAGATAGTAGTCCGTTGGCGGGAGATCTGGAGAGTATGATGGGTGAGGCAGAAACGTGCAGACAGAAATTGTCGTGGAGCAGGATCGGACCTCTTCTGTTGACAAAGTACAATGCTATGATGGTTTGGACTGGATGCAAAAAGTTATAGTGAATCACACCAGCCGCTGACCACCATACAGTAACCAAGGTTTTTTTGACTTGACGATACGATCCAAAAAAGGATCTTTTGGTTGCGCAAAAGCAAAGAAAAATAGACCTCGAAACGTGAAAATGTTTGTTGATCGCTTTAATTGTGGGACACACCCTTTTTGAGCTTTTTGACATTTCCAATACGCTTTAAACCATCAAAAACCGCATGGGAGTTGACACCCAGTTCTTCTTCCATCTCACACATCGTGAGTGGGTCGAACACTTAGGGAGCGAGGCATAAATCCCTGGAACGAAATTTTGCAATCAACGTCGAACATTAACACTATCTTTGCCAAATGTCTGGTTAATTTTTTAGGTGTTTCGGCAACGCTCTGGTTCAATTTGAATTCGTAGAGAAAAATTGGCCTAAAATAGCTTAACGGCATCATAATAATAATAATAAGTTGAACAGAGGAATAACAATTATTGGCATCAATGTAGAAAATTATCTATCAATCAGTATATATCACAACACAGTAGAATAATCATTTATTGAAATATGGAGCTACAAAAAATACATGACATTGAAACGGACAAAACTTTTGAAACAACTTAATGAAAAGAAAAAACTAAATACACCATGAATATTCATCTGAACTAGTTGTTTCTTGAAAATCAAACAACTAGTTGTTTGATTTTCAAGAATTGCTCAGATTACGAAATTTATTCAGTATTAATGGGTTTTTTCCAAGTTGTTTTTTGAACAGGTTTAGCGAATGATACTTTTTGATGGTATTTGGTAACTTATTCAATTCCCAAAGACACTTGAAAAAAAAAGGAGTACAAGGTGGTTTAATATTTTTGCCGGTGATGTGAATATTATCTTTCCCACTCACGTTATAGGTATGAATATCTTTATTAATAATAATAAACGCCTGAAAGTATTCAGGAGCCATTGTGAAATAAAGAATCCTTTTTTTGAATTGAACGGGTATATTTTTAGATTAATTTTTGGGAAAAATTTATATTATGCACCTTTTCATTCGTGGTGCATATACGATAACTCACTCACTAACTCATGTATTTCAAGTTGTCATAGACAGTTTGATAAACAATTCGTCGCTAGATTACCGAGAAGAAAAATTAGTTATGAGCATACGCGTTAGTGTTATCTAACCGGGAGAGAACGAGGCACTTTTGTCCCGCATGAAGGATGCGAAAAGCAAACTTTTCATCCCGCAGTGGGAAAAAATTTTTTTGGCTTTCTACATATCCATCTTTATACCTTTCTCTGGAACAGTCCCACATTTTTGTATTAAGATGAAGAAGTAGGAAACCAAAACGTTTCTTAAAAAAAAAACCTCTTTTTTTTTTCAACAGAAAACTATCTTTTGAGAATTAGTCTTGTAGTCACAATTTTGACAAACTGATGTCATTATTATNTATATATATATATATATATATATATATATATATATATATATATATATATATATATATATATATATATATATATATATATATATATATATATATATATATATATATATATATATATATATATATATATATATATATATATATATATATATATATATATATATATATATATATATATATATATATATATATATATATATATATATATATATATATATATATATATATATATATATATATATATATATATATATATATATATATATATATATATATATATATATATATATATATATATATATATATATATATATATATATATATATATATATATATATATATATATATATATATATATATATATATATATATATATATATATATATATATATATATATATATATATATATATATATATATATATATATATATATATATATATATATATATATATATATATATATATATATATATATATATATATATATATATATATATATATATATATATATATATATATATATATATATATATATATATATATATATATATATATATATATATATATATATATATATATATATATATATATATATATATATATATATATATATATATATATATATATATATATATATATATATATATATATATATATATATATATATATATATATATATATATATATATATATATATATATATATATATATATATATATATATATATATATATATATATATATATATATATATATATATATATATATATATATATATATATATATATATATATATATATATATATATATATATATATATATATATATATATATATATATATATATATATATATATATATATATATATATATATATATATATATATATATATATATATATATATATATATATATATATATATATATATATATATATATATATATATATATATATATATATATATATATATATATATATATATATATATATATATATATATATATATATATATATATATATATATATATATATATATATATATATATATATATATATATATATATATATATATATATATATATATATATATATATATATATATATATATATATATATATATATATATATATATATATATATATATATATATATATATATATATATATATATATATATATATATATATATATATATATATATATATATATATATATATATATATATATATATATATATATATATATATATATATATATATATATATATATATATATATATATATATATATATATATATATATATATATATATATATATATATATATATATATATATATATATATATATATATATATATATATATATATATATATATATATATATATATATATATATATATATATATATATATATATATATATATATATATATATATATATATATATATATATATATATATATATATATATATATATATATATATATATATATATATATATATATATATATATATATATATATATATATATATATATATATATATATATATATATATATATATATATATATATATATATATATATATATATATATATATATATATATATATATATATATATATATATATATATATATATATATATATATATATATATATATATATATATATATATATATATATATATATATATATATATATATATATATATATATATATATATATATATATATATATATATATATATATATATATATATATATATATATATATATATATATATATATATATATATATATATATATATATATATATATATATATATATATATATATATATATATATATATATATATATATATATATATATATATATATATATATATATATATATATATATATATATATATATATATATATATATATATATATATATATATATATATATATATATATATATATATATATATATATATATATATATATATATATATATATATATATATATATATATATATATATATATATATATATATATATATATATAAATATATATATATATATATATATATATATATATATATATATATATATACATTCAATTGGTATTTATAATAATAATAATCTTGAATATCACTGAACAAGTGTAAAACAACATCCGTCTAAGAAACGTATCCTTACCTGCTTCAAATTGATGTTATCATAAGGCAGCACCATCGGTAACCCTGCCTTCCTCTGTGTATCCAGCAAGTCTTGTTCCAGAGCGATAACCCTATCCTTTAACGACTTCACCAACAAATTGTATTCGGTGTCTTTCTCCTGCAACAGCTGCTGATAGAAATCCTCCCGGTGAAGCATGTCCAGCTCCCTCTGTTGGAATTCCCTCACCAACTGCTTGGCTTTGCTGTATTTCTTTTCGAGGGATTGGTATTGGGTTTGAGACTGCTCCAACATGTTCTGGTAGGTCTGCACTTCCTTCTTGGTGGTTGTGAGGTGTCTTTCGGTTTCTTTCAGTCTTTGGGAGACCTGCTCGAACTTCTCGGATTCGTCGGGCTTCACACCATTCTGCTCCATGAGCTACAATGTGGGGAATAATAAAGAATTGATCTACCTCGCTAAAATTCATTTGAATTGGAAAGCTAATATAATCGTGAGATTTTTAGACACCATACTGTGCTAACAGGGAATTTGATTGTATGAAGATTATTGAGTGTCTTGATATAAATCCAATAGATAATTTTATCAGACATAGCAGTCAAAAAAGGGAAAAACCAAGACACGTATTCCGGATTTTCAGCCCATCTTCAGTATGGTGCAACCAAGTGCATGGATGGGCATCACTTGGTTGCCAAAAGAAGTACAAATGCTGCCTCCGTGGTAACTTTAGTAGTATTCTAGTAAACACACGATCCATTAACTGAAACCACAAACGTGTGGTTGGCTTTTGCTGATGGCTCCGTGCATTTGTACTTCTTTTGGCAACCAACTGTAGTCCATCCTTGCACTTGGCTGCACCATACTGGTGATGGGCCAAAAGCCCGAAATTCGTGTCTATGGTGGGCTCTTTTTTTAGTTATGTCCAATGAAATTATCTTTTGGATTTACATATACATATATAATATACAGGCTGATTCACGGTGGATGGCACATTAGACGTTTCTGGTGAACCAGACAACGGATCACTTTGAAAATTTAATGGAGGGCATATTCGGACATTCTCTAGCCAACTAAAATATTTTCGACAATGCGGTGTTGCCGCTTCTATTAGAAAGCAGTAGCAACTTTGATTTTTCAAA